CATTATACGGTATAAAGGCCAGGATCCGCACTCGGGTGCTCTCACCTCCTTAGGTAGTGCTGCCCTCATCTCCTTGGTGGGCGCCTCAAACGCCGGCGTCACGACCACAAAGAAGAGCTTCTTCCCCTCGCCTCCGTTCTCCCCGCCGAACGCGAGTGGGATGAGATGCAGCGGCCGGTACGACCGCACGAGGACAAACCCTCCCATGAGCGCTGGTGCAACGTTGTCCGCGTGGTAACCGCTCACCGCAGCTTCGGATTGTAACCCCGCCAGCACCAGCTGTGCTTTGGAGAGCGGCGAGCCGAAGAGAGCGTTTACTGCCACGGCTGCTGCCGCTGCACTCGCAGCACTGGAACCCAGCCCACTCCCTAACGGCAAACCCTTGTTCAGAGTGAGCCCGATCACGGGAAGATTTGATCCTGATCCGCTGCTGCTGCCCTTGCCGTCCGGGCCGTAGAGCCCGAGGAGCTCCATGGTGGCCCGGGCGGCGATGCCGATGCAGTTGGTGGCGGGGTCGAATCCCAGCCGTCCGTTGTCTCCCTCGATGCTCTCTATGATGATGTTGCCTGAGGGCGGGGCGGGCACGTCCAGGATCTGGAGTAGTGTGGGGGAAGCGGGGAAAGTGGGGGAGGAGGGGAGGAATGGGGAAAACGAAAAAAAGCGGGAGGGGGGCAGGAATGGGGGGAAGGAGTGAGGGGGGAAGGGAGGGAGGGAGGCAGGAGGTGGAGGGGAAACAAGGGAGGGGGGCTTTTAAGTTCTTTGGGGAAGGCATGGGGCAGTTGAACCAGATACCACCTACCCAAGAAAATGGCACTTTCAAGTAACGCCTACCCATGCCGACGATATATACCTATGGTACCAAGTTTTCAGGAACGCCCACACCAGGTAATGCCCACACCAGGTAATGCCCACACCAGGTAATGCCCACACCAGGTAACGCCCATCCCAGGTTCACCCCTACCCCAGGTAGCGCCTACCCCAAGTAGCGCCTACCCCAGGTAGCGCCTACCCGAGCAGTGACGTGGTCACCAAGCCCCTCTACGGCGCATCCGAGGAAATCAAATCCCGGGCCGAGATTCGCCACTGTCGCAGGCGCGAACGCCGTCACCTCCTGCCGCGCCACGGCCGGTGGAGCGTCCAGCAGCGCCTCCAGGAATTCCGGCGCAGATGCCGCTGACGCTGTGATCGCGGGACGAGCGGCGCAGACGCGGGACTGCGGAAACACGTGGGACCGGCGGAGGCGGAAAGGCGGAAGGGGAACGATGGAAGGCGTGGGAATGGGGGGAAGGAAGGGAAGGGGGGCATCGGGGAAGGGGAAGGGGAGAATGTAGAAAGGATAATGCAGGCCTCCTGATGTGATTCGAGATTTGATACGCAGTAGTGGGTTCTGGGAGAATCGTAACGCGTACAAGCTAAACGCACATTGTGCCTGAACGACCTGTGAAGCATTCACCGTACCTTCGTTTTCCGCTGCGCGGGCTTGGCGCGCAGGGTAAGCGACTGGCGGGGGAGCAGCGCTGAGGGCGTGCAGCTGGTCAGCGCGGGCGGGCGGGAGATTGCGCCATTTGGATCAGACGCGGAATATGCGGGCGCAGAGGTGACGGAGGGTAGGCGCACGGCGACAGAAGCCATTGGCGCGATTGTTGGCGCGGATTAATCGGCGAGATGCGTACGTTTTACCTAAGGGTGGTGGCGCTGGGGTGGGATCATTGGGTTGAGGGGCGAGTTGCTGAAATCGAATCCTTGTGTTGGGTTTTCTATAGAAACTCGGTGCAAATTTCCATCTACAACACAGAAAGCTGTAAGCGAAGCGGTTTCGGAAAGAGACGATTATCGAGGTTCTTGTAGCGAAGCTGAACACCACAACCATCAAGTAGTTACACACGGCAGCTGAATTTACTGCCACGTGGAAATGAGCGCTGACGTGGCACATCCATTCGAAGATTTCGTATCTTCCGCGAGACATGCGAGCCGCATTTCCTAAAAACCTGGCTTTCCAGGGACAGGGGAGGCGCATCAAGTTCACTCCCCCTGATGAGGGGAACGCGCAACTCTGCTTTGAACAGACTGGATACAGAATCGCCAAGAGACCCCCTTTCTTCCCGCAACTTCCCTCCGTCCGCACACACCTCCCCAACATTCCCCCCATCCCCCGCAATTATTTAGTCCCTCCCCTCCTCCCCGCGCGTCACTCTCGGCCGACCGAGCTCGCACATCGCAGACTGCAATTGCTTAGTTGTAGATTTCCCAAGCTAAAAGTGCCAATTGTTGACGCATTTGTGGATCACTAAATTTGTCCCAGCTTGTCGTGCTACGTTTCCCTTCAAGAGTTAAGAATTTTGACACGACAGGAGAGTTAAAGTTAGTCTTCGGAGTTCGTAGGTCGTTTCGAAATTAGTATCCTCGTCGCCATGTCCACGTCGTGCCATGCGCGCGCCGCAGCCACAGCGGGGCTCATCCCCCGCAGCGCAGGATCCGCATCGACTTCTCAACTGCGCCTCGTCTCCGCCACGGGCGCAACACCAACAGCCGCATGCCGCGCCGTTCCCCGTCAGCGCGCCGCTTTCCTCCCCCGCCCAGCCCTCTCTCCGCGCCACCTCACTTCCACTTCCGCCCTCTCCCCCTCTCTCCCTGCGCTCTCCACTCAAACCACCTCCGCGCGACTACCCCGCCTCCCGTCTCGCGCGCCCGGCGCAGTGCGCGTCAGCGCGCGCGGCGGAGGCGGGAGCGTGGGGGTCCCGGAGCGCATCATCTCCGCGGCCGTCTACTTCCTCCCGCTCCTAGACGGCGCGCGGTACGCACGATTCCTCTACGCGCAGTACCCCTTCACGCGCGTCCTCCTGGACCCGATCATCCCGCTCGTGCAAGCTTACAACTCCTTCCCGTACGCCGGGCTCATCCTCTTCTTCCTCCTCTACCTCGCCATCATCCGCAACCAAAATCTCGACCGCTACGTGCGCTACAACGCGATGCAGGCCGTGATTCTCGATATCCTCATGATCTTGCCGTCGCTGCTCGAGCGCCTATTCGCGGGCAACGACGGCATCTCGCTACAGCTGACGATCATTTTCTACAACACCGTGTTCCTGTACCTCTTCGCGTGTTTCGTCTTTGGCGTCGTGTCGTGCCTCCTCGGGAAGACCCCCCGCTTGCCCATCGTCGCGGAAGCCGCCGACGCGCAGGTGCCGTTTTGAGTGCGGGCGGGGGGAGGAGGGAGTGCGCTGGGCGTTCCGCTCCGGGATCCGCGGGCGGTCTCGATCCGCGAATGAGTATGTGATGTTTACGCCGCGCATGGCCTTAACCATCTTATGCTTCGTCTAGTTCATGTAGAACTGACTTGCCTTCCTTCATTCGTTCCCTCCGTGTTTACACCACTTCTTCTGTAGTTCAACGTAGTTACTACAATTGCTGGTTTTTTTCTTTCCGTCTCTCTTGCTCAGCAGCAGCCGCTGTAAATTCATGGACTAACAACAGCCTAACCGCAGCGAGCCGAACTGGGAATGGAACATCAGTGATATTGAAATTGCCAACTGAACCAACCGTTCTGGACGAATGAGCTTTTTTTCACAACTCCTCTCGCTTCAACCTCCCCCCCCCTCCCCCCCCGATCCTCCCCCTCCATCCCTCCTTTCTTCCCCTCCTCCCCACCTTGAGTCACCGCCATTCCCCTCCCCTTTCCCCAATTCTCACCGCGATTCTCCTCCCCTCGCCCCCATTCCCGTGCTTCCACCACCAGCCCCCGACTCCCCGCGCCCCATTCCCCCGTTCACCATTTCTCTCCCCTCGCCTCCTCCCTCACTGCTGTTCCGCTCTCCTCTACCCCATTAGCCCCCACTAACCACACCCCACCCCCCTATCCACACCCTCCACCCCACCCCCCTGCCATTTCCCTCCCATCCTCCTTCATCTCCCACCTCCCCTCCTCTCGCTGCCGTTCCCTCCTGCCGTCACTCCCTCATTCCCTCGCTCCCATTCTCGCCTTCCCCATTCCCCTCTCCCACCATTTCCCTACTCCCTTACCTACATTCCCCCCTCACCTCACGATAGGATCCCTCATTAGCACCACCAAACAGCGTGTATGGAGAATGGTGGATAACTATGGTACTGATTGCAGTTTGGAAAAGCATGTGTACATATCCACGTTTATCCAGGTGAAAACCGGTGCAGTTCATTGCATTTCAAGCTTTTATGCTGGTCAGCCGTTGTCGAATTCGCCTGAACCCATGCATTGCAGCAATTGTTATCAGAGCTGTTAATTTGAGGCATTGCTATGCATTGCTCTTTACCATACAGTTCATGGATTGGCACACAATCTTTGCACGGCCACCATACGGAGAGCAATGTTCGGTCACATTCCATTTTTTTAGGGAAAATGTGCATGATTCATGTTCATTCATAGTCTGTTGCTTTCCATTTACTGTGTAAGGTGAGTGTTCAATGATAGGAGTTGAAACAAGTGAATCAATATACCCGTTTGATGAAAGCGAATTGTTTCTGGCGAATCCTGGAATTCTATCTGGGCCCGAAGCGTCCCGACCAAATTCTCTGCGAGTGCCGATTCTGTTTCCTGTCTGGTGGGGCATGACATGGCACCTGAACTGAATTGAAGGAAAGCGCTGCCGTGATTCGTGGACAGGTTTTGTACAGTAAACTGTACCGTATAGTAGTTGGATTTCGTAACCACTTCAGGTGAGAATTCTCCCCTGATACAAGCTGCCGTTAAAGCCCAAGACCCGAATTACTCAACGCAAGTCAACGGAAAAAAATAGGTTCGGAAGGCAACCAGACAGAGGTTCGGTTGGGGTGCGAAGCACTTTCACTCGCGAAACCAATTTGCGACAAAAGTTTCTCGCGTACAAGAATACGAGTGCTAGGTGGGGTCCTTCCCACAACCTGAAAAGGGCGTAGATCCCAAACTGTGCACAGTCTGAGATAGCACGCAGATAACTAGGCAGGGAGCGTACCTGTAGAGATAGCGGGGAATCAGAGGCGCCTTACGAATGTGTGTGGCGCGGATTTCGATGACGACGCGCAAAGATAGTGTTCGTTGGTGTCGAAATGCAGGTTTAGTGCAACTGATGCGTATACTCGCACGGAATATCGTAGCGTGACCCTTCGCCAAAGCATGAACCTCTCCTTGCCGTCGTTTTCCTTTCCCAAGGCCCCACGATTTCAATCTCTTTCGCCATCGCTTCCCCAGCTCGTCGCCTTCAAGACCTCCTTCCGATGCCTTCGCGACCCCAGCCCGTCGCCTTCGCTCCGCCCGTTGCCCTCGCTTTCCACGCCTGTCGCCTTCACTTCCCCTCCCCCGTCGCCTTCTCTTTCCCCCGACCCCGTCGCGCTCAATTCCCCCTCCCGTCGCTTTTCCCGCCCGTCGCCTTCGCTTCTCCCGAACGGCGCCTTCCGTTCCCCCGCCCGTCGCACTCGCTTCCCCCGCCCGTCGCACTCGCTTCCCCCGCTCGTCGCACACCGCGCCAGTCGCACACGCTTCCCGCCCGTCGCACTCGCTTCCCGCCAGTCGCACTCACTTCCCGCCCGTCGCCTTCACTACCCCTCCCATTGCCGTTCACTCTCTCCAGCTCACGCTCTGCCCTCCACTCACTCTCTTCCCCACCCTTCACTCTCTTCTCTCATGTACACTCCCTTTCCCCCTGTTCTCACTCCTCTCTTTCCCCCTCGCCTCACTCTCTACCCCCCTGCTCAATCCCTTCCCCCCTCGATCTCTTTCCCCTACTCACGACCTACCCCCCTGCTCAATCCCTTCCCCCCTCGATCTCTTTCCCCTACTCACGATCTACCCCCCTGCTCAATCCCTCCCCCCCTCAATCTCTTTTCGCTGCTCACTCTCTCACTCTCTTCCCCCCTGCTCACTCCCTCCCCCCCCGCTCACTCTCTCCCCCCTGCTCACTCTCTCCCCCCCTGCTCACTCTCTCCCCCCCTGCTTACTCTCTCCCCCCCTGCTTACTCTCTCCCCCCCTGCTCACTCTCTCCCCCCCTGCTCACTCTCTCCCCCCCTGCTCACTCTCTCCCCTCTGCTCACTCTGCGCCCCTGCTCACTCCCTCCCCCCCCGCTCACTCTCTCCCCCCCTGCTCACTCTTTCCCCCCCTGCTCACTCTCTCCCCCCCTGCTCACTCTTTCCCCCCCTGCTCACTCTTTCCCCCTCTGCTCACTCTCTCCCCCTGGACTCACCCGCCTTTCCTCCCTGTTTACTCTCGATTCCCCTTCGTTTAACCTTTTTTCCCCACACTACTCTTATTTCCCCTGTTCAGACCCCTCGGTTTCCCCTGCTTACTGGCTTTCCCCCCTGCTCACCCCCTTCTCCCCCCTGCTCACTCTCTTTCCCCTTTTGCTCACCCCTCTGCCCCGTCCACATCCAACCCTCGCTTATCTGCCATACCCCCTCTTCCCTTCCCGTTCTATCACGGAACCATGCTTGAACAGGTTACAGGTGCCCAGCACCATGAGTCCCAACAGGAATGTGATGAATGTGTTCCTGTAGTCTATTGATGACAATTTTTACATAAACAATATTATGCTTTGTTCCACTTCTTTGTAGTGGCCATGTGCATGGCTGCTCTGAAGCAGAGAAGGTTTTATTAATAAAAGCATAAGCGTCAATACATGGCATGGCAACCTATTTGTCATACCACTATCATCAAACAACGAACACCTCACATCTGGGTGCATGGCAGACCTGCACAAACACGAACCACAAAATTTTGTGTGTCATATGTTGGAGCAGCTGGGAAGGAGACCGTACAAAACAATAACAATCAAAGGGCAATCCCCTTGAATATACAAACAGGCTAGGAGTGTACAGGCTTGGAAGGGAAAGGGTGGATGGGAGGATGTGAGAAATTCGAGGGAGTAGGCAAGTGGGTCAGACAGAAAGGCGGAGGATAGGAATATCGGAAGATGGCAGCTTGAAAAAAAGGGCAGCAGGGTGGAGAGGCAGGAGGATGAAAGAAAGAGTGGGTGGGAGAGTGGTAGGGAGGAGGGAGGCTTGGAGGAAGGGCGGATGGGAGAAAGTGAGGGAGGTAAAAGTGTGGCAGGGTATAAGGGAGGAACGGGGAGAAGGGAGAATCAGAGAGAAGGAAAGAAGGGTACAAGGGTGTGGGGGGAGCGTGGGTGACGGTGGGAGGGAGTGTAGGGAGAGTGGGAGGCAGTGAGGGCGACGGAGTGAGGATGGGCGGATGAGAGGATGGGCGGATGAGAGGATGGGTGGAACGGAGGAGCAGGGTTGGCGTGAGGAAGGGAGTGGGCGAGAGGGAGATGGCAAGGGAAAGGGGGACTGGATCGAGGGAGGATGAGGAGAGGGAGAATGGCAGGAAGGGAGGGCGGGAGGAAGGGAGGGAGAACGGGCAACAGAAAGGGGAAAGAGGGTAGTGAGGCAGAGAGTGTGGGATAGATGGAGGAAGGGAGGAAGAGAGAGGGAGAGGAGGACGACTGTGGGGGCCCCACGGAACGGAGTAAGGGAGGAGGGCAGGAGGTAAGAGTGTGGCAGGAGGTAAGGGGGATAGGAGGATCCCTGCACCCTCTCTCCCTAACCCCTCCCCCGCTCCGCCTCCCCTAACCAGCCCCCTGCAGCACTGCACTCCTTGCTGCCCGCCTGCACGCGCTGCCCTGGCTGTGCGCCCAACACTCTGCTCCAAAGCCGCACCACCACCTGCCATGGGCGACAGTGAGGGGAAGCGTGGGCGACGGTGAGAGGAAGCGTGGGCGACGGTGGGGGAAAGCGTGGGCGACGGTGAGAGGAAGCGTGGGCGACGGTGAGATGAAGCGTGGGCGACGGTGGGGGAAAGCGTGGGCGACGGTGGGAGGAAGCGAGCGCGACGGTGGGGGAAAGCGTGGGCGACGGTGGGAGGAAGCGAGCGCGACGGTGGGGGAAAGCGTGGGCGACGGTGGGAGGAAGCGAGCGCGACGGTGGGGGAAAGCGTGGGTGATGTGCGGGGAAGCGTGAGGGAAGGTGGGGGAGGGCGCGAGCGACGGTGTGGGGAAGCGTGGGGGAAGGCAGGAGGGAGCGTGAGCAGCGGTAAGGGAAAGCGTGAGCGACGGTGGCGGAAAGCGAGGGCGACGGTGGGGGAAAGTGTGAAAGCGACGGTGGGTGGGAGCGTAAGCGACAGTGGGGGGAAGCGTGGGTGACGGGAGGAAGAGCGTGGTCAACGACGGAGTGAAGTGTGATCGACAGCGGGAAGAAGCGCGGGCGACGGTGGGGGGAAGCGTGGGGGACGGCGACGTCGACGAGGGGAAGCGTGTGTGGCAGGGTGTGACGCCGACAAGGAAGGACGGTGGGGGAACATAGCTGAGGCAAACATAGGGCGAATGCGCGGGAAATGGCAGCGATCGACCGTACGATTACCTAATATCGACCTCGGAGAGGAGATGCATGCGCCGCAAACTGACGTTTTCGCGGTCGCGCAGGGTTTCGACGACGACGCTGAGTGAAAAGTGGCGCCATCGCATAGAATCTGTTTGGTGTTTTTTTTCCTACCAAACTATTGGGCTCGGGCTCTATTGGCTTTCTGTTCTACCTAGGAGTTTCACGTGGATACTATGTGGTCGAGCATGACCTGAATTACCACAATTTCCAAACTGCGCACAGCTTGCCTTCCCCTACTCCCTTCAGGAGGGAGCGGTTGGGACTCTCGCCAACCAATTTTGTGCTGCTCTACGACTCTCTGGTTCTTTGCGGGGCGTCATTTGGTAACCAGAGAGGCTCGGGAAGTCAACTGTGGGCTCGGAAGGCAAACTGTGCACAGTTTGCCTTCCTTTTTTTGTAATTCAGGTCTTGGGCTTTAATCCCGCTGCTTATCACCCTGCCAGGACAGACCACGAACCGCTGTTTATGTTTTTTTCCGCTCCCCATGTTGTCGCATCGCTGCTGGTGGCGCGAGGGAGGGGTTCCAGGGAAGCTGAAGTGCCCTTCAGCGGATTCCGAAATGCCACATCCATGCAACGAGTGGCGCTCGCTCATTCATTCCCCTCGCCTTCTGCGAAAGTCGCTGAATTCGTTTCGCCGACATTGCCTGCGCCTTGCTGGGGTAAATCTGAGCATACCGCGTCGCATGTCGGTTCCTGATTTTCTCCTGACTTCACTGGTTCTTGTCGTATTCGCTCTCGTCTCGCGCAAATGTGCCATGGCATGCCATGTCAAGGTAGCTCTGTTCACACAGGGCACAGCCTTTCCCCACTGTGGCGTCGCGTCGCCCCCACGCATCTCCTCTCATCCCTCACATCTCCTCTGCCCCGCACCACATCAACGGAGGACAGGACGCCAATTTCAACAAGCGCACAGGAAGCAATCCCAATCGCAATTTCAATTGTAGTGCAAGCTCGAGCAGCTGCAACAGCATCCCTACTCGCTAGACCAGACAAAGTTCCAACTTCATTCCGTGTGGCCGCTTATCCAACCCCAACTGCAAACCTCGACAGGCTGAATCTCCTACCACACTCATTCCACGCTGCTGCAATTGGGAACCACTGAGAAAGCGTCTTTCCCACAAGCGATCAAGCTTTTCCAGCCGAACGTCAACATGCACTCGCGTTGTCGGTGGAACTCTCTCTGAATCTGCAAACTTCTTCTCTCGCAACGGGGTTTTCCCACCCGCGACACCCGCACCTCCCGCAACATCCGTACCTCCCGCAACGCCCACACCTCTTGTGAAGACAACGTATCACAGCCTCGTCTCATGCCTCTGCAGCGCAGCGTATCGCTTATTCGTCGGCGCAGCGCCAGACCACGTTGTTAGCTCTTAGATAAGCAGGCTCCTGGTTCGTATTTTCCGTACTGAAGACTGGTCAGAAGTAGATGACTGTCATTTCGTATTCCGTACTGAAGACAGGTTATAAGGACCTTTGCAGCAGACTCGTCGCAAAGCAGATGTGCTAAGAGAGTTTCAAAGCTTAGCCTACATTTTCAACGAGCCTCAGAATCAGCCTACGTGACTATTAAGTCGTAACCAGGTTACCTGCACCATCGCGTCGACCTCGCCGTGAGCTTGCGCTGTCCTTCTATCGACCTTCGTGCAAGCATCCTTCGCGGAGCCAGATATCGATCTACCGGATTCATCGCCGTGGATCGCGGGCAGCCATGGAGAGCACGCGAAAGCTCGTACGATGGGAGATGGGGTCGCCGCTGTGCGTGCGGTCACCCGTTTTGTCCTTCACTGCAGGCGCTTACAGCGACGCCAAATCGCGATCAAAGGTAAAGCACTCACTTTTGAGTAGATTCTTGCTTACTTGCGTGGTCATGTGCTTCGAGAGTAGGCAGTATCATGGTTTCCCGTGCGGCGGCCGTATCTGCGCAGTAGGTTGGTAGCGATTGGGTAGCGAGTCGATATGCAGGCCCGCTGTCGTCACGCGGTCGCACAATGACGTCACGCTGGACACGGTCGGTTATACGTATCCGAAGCTGAGGCCGACGCGGCAGTAGCAGGGGAAGGAGGCTGATATCTGTAGCAGGGACTGTGGAATAGAGAATGGCGAGGCTGTAGCAGAGGCATTACGGCGGTTGTAGCAGATTGGGAGCAGGCCAGGGCAGGTATCGCAGACAGAGAGAGCGGCGGATTGTGCCGAGGCTTAGGCCTGGTGTAGTTCTGCTAGCGGCCAACCGAGCCTGGTTGTGCCGAGCCTGCCGTGTCGAGGCTGACCGTGCGGAGCGTGGTTGTGCTGACGCCGGGGGACGGTGCAGCAGGCTGTATAGGCGTTCGGGCAGGAGGAGCCGGGATAGAGTTACAAGTAGGAGACATTCCGCTGCCTCGCTATACCAAACCCGAAACCAGGCTCTTGAGACTAGGCTCCCGTAGTAGGCCCCTAAGGCAGACCCTTACGCCAGGCTTCTTTTCCAATGATTCTCTTAAAGTAGGACCCTAATTCGCATCCCTCCCCATCCCTCCCCATCCCTCCCCATCCCTCCCCATCCCTCCCCATCCCTCCTCCCCCAACTCCACCAGGCCTTTTCAAGCCGAGTCCTATCGACAGCGCGCCTCGTCCTCGTCTTTATTCTCCTCGTTTTCTTCCTCTCGACGCTCTGCGCCACCATCGGCGTGCCTAAAATCGACCTCTCGGAGCCGGTCGTTCTGATGCGCCGCGGCGACCGGCGGCTAGTCGTCAAGTACACGCCCAGCGCGGCGGACGACGCGGCGACGCGCGCGATCGTGGACCCCGTCGCCGACCTGTCGCACCCGCGCCTCGCCAAGAGACGAGCGCTGATGCGATACCTGAAGGAGGATCAATAACGAGGGAGGAGGGAGATGCATCAGGGTTCAAGGAGAGCGCTCATGCGATAGATACCTCAGGAGGATCAATAGCAGCGGGAGGAGGGAGGTGGTGGTGTGGAGGGAGGGGCACATGGGGGAGGCGCATACGGGGTTGCATGCAGAGGGAGATGAAAGCTGTGTGTGGGTCAGGGCATCGTGCAACGGATAGGGAAAGAGAGGAGAGGATGACTCTATATAGAGAATAGGGTGAAATGAGTGAACGGTATGAGGCTTGCAAATGGATTGGGGATTCTAGGAGTGAGTTGAGGTGCCTGCAGCTTGAGCATGTGGCAGACGGACAAACTAGCAGGCGTTGGATATGAAGGAAAAATATGGAGAGCGTAGCTAAAGACAATCCAGAGATCCTACGGTAGTAGGAGACAATGTACCGTGTAAAAATTGCAGCACCTGATGTACAGTACCAGTATGACAAGAGCTCAATCAAATCCTGTTAAAACGAGGGTCTAGATTTGACAAGCGGAGGTTCAGAAGTTTTTGTTCTGAACCAGGCTTGCCAGCGCGAAGGTGTTGGCTGGCGAAAATCTGGAATTCGTGCGGGGAATTTTCCTCCGCAGTAACTGGTCGCCAGGGTTTAGGGGTTCGGGTGGCAAATGTGCACCGTCGCTTTAAAGCAGCAGTATACATTTGAAAGTACTATTGATTTTGGAACAGTACCCACCAAAAGCAAACCCCAACGAAAACGAACAGGCTTGGCGAGAGGGTCGGCGAAAGTTTGGAAGGCTGTTGGTTGCGAACACGAAAAACTCTCCCGTCACCCAACACCTGGAGTCACACTCAGACACTAGGAAATGCCTTTCCACAGGCAATGTAGAAGGTGGCTAAGGGGGCCGAGGAGTAGCGGTACCACTAAGAAACTCGCTGTTGGTAAGGGGACACGTGTCACAAGCATTTCTACAACACCCTACTCTCTGATGACTAGACTCGTTCTAAGGCCTCGCACGCGATGTAGGAATAGCCTTCGTAGAGGCGCGCCGCATTCCATGCGCTCTCCTCGCTGGCGATATTCTCACGAAACCTGCAGCTCGATCGCCGAACCCGCAGCTCACGACACCCTCTTAGCGCGTCACCCGCGACTCGCCTAATGCCACTCTGCGCGCCCCACCGCTTAGTGCCTAACCGCTAAGCGCCTCACAGCGAAAAGCGCACGATCGCTAAGCGAGCGCCTCACCGCATAGCGCCTCACCGCTCACGCACTGCGATTCCTCTCAAGTTTTAGTGCAGGCGAGTGCTTCTCGAACCCATCGCTCGCCTCTCTTAGCACTCTCACCCTCTGCTGGCTTCACCTGCTGCTCGCGTCTCTGGGCGAATGTCGAATTCGCCCAAAATGCTGCGCTCCGCGAGGCGTTCGCCTCACGCGCTGCTTGCCACCGTTGAATGGGCGCATCGCCATGAATGCGGGGAGCCCGTCGTCCAACCTCCTTCCCCGGACCTCTCATTTCCCCTCCCTGTTCCCTCATTTCCCCCCCTCCCTCTCTCTTTTCCCCCACTACTCCTACCCCTTGTTTCCCCCTCTGCTTACCCTCGTTCCCCCCTCTCTTTTCCCTTATTTCCCCCTCTCCTCTCCCTCGTTCCCCCCTCTCCATCCCATCATTTCCCCCTCTGCTTCCCCTTGTTCCCCCTCTCCATCCCCTTCTCTCACCTGTCCATCCCTTGCCTCCCCTTCGCATCCGTCTAAAGCTGTGAGCGAAATCAGACACAACTTTCCCTCACATCCCCTCTCCCTCCCCCGGTTTGTTACCCATCCCTCCCCCTGTTTGTTACCCATCCCTCTCCTCCACCCATCCATCTCCCTCTCCTTCCCCTCGTTCCCCCCTCTCCTTCCCCTCGTTCCCCCTCGCCTTCCCCTCGTTCCCCCCTCTCCTTCCCCTCGTTCCCCCCTCTCCTTCCCCTCGTTCCCCCTCTCCTTCCCCTCGTTCCCCCCTCTCCTTCCCCTCGTTCCCCCCTCTCCTTCTCCTCGTTCCCCCCTCTCCTTCCCCTCGTCCACCCCCTCTCCTTCACCTCATTTCCCCCTTTGCTTCCCCTCGTTCCCCCCTCTCATCCTTGTTCACCCCACAACTTCCCCTCATTTCCTCTCATCACCTCCCCTGCTCCCTCTCACTACCTCCCCTGCTCCCTCTCACTACCTCCCCAGCTTCCAATCTTTTCTCCCTCTGCTTCCCCTCGTTTCTCCCTCTCTTTCCCTTCATTTCCGTCCCTGCTTCTTCTTTGCCTGCTTTCTCTTCGATTGCGTCTTGCCCACAGTTCCCCCCTTACCCTCCTTCCTCTGTTATTTTCTATGCTACCGTATCACCCTCCTTTCTCTGAGTTTTTCACCCCTTCTTACGCTTTGTCTCCCCACCTGCTTGCCCTTGTTCGTCTCCACCCCCTTACCCTCCCCCCAACCCGCTCTTCCTGCACGCTTGTACTCTGTCCTCCGGATTTCCAGATCATCTTTACTCGATATCTGCTCTGTGCAGCATGGAGCACAGTGAAGTTGTAATCTCTGTCTACAATGTGTGTGCCTCAATGTATCTAGCCATAACATGGTATTACAACTCATTTACATTCTGAATAATGGTAGTGGAATCCAATGGTTGTCATGTGACCTCTGTTCTTTCAAATGGGCACAGCACAGCATTGATGTAGAGAAGAGAAGCTTGAGAGGAGTATGTACACATGATAAAATCATCGCAAAACATTGTACAAGACAGCACCTTCCACTACTCTTTGTGTCGCCTTCATTCCCCCCCAAACTCTTGGACCTGCTGCTCCTCCCTTCATGTCGCCAAAATTGCCCGGGCCTGGCTTTGCCCTGTGTGTAGCAGGATTGCATGCAAAACCTGCAGCTTTGCGTATGCATATTGGCTGTATGACACGTGGTGTCGCAACCGTAAATAGTGGGGCCCCGAACCTATGGGAGGGAAGGCAGGGATGTGAGGAGGGAAGGCAGGGATGTGAGGAGGGAAGGCAGGGATGTGAGGAGGGAAGGCAGGGATGTGAGGAGGGAAGGCAGGGATGTGAGGAGGGAAGGCAGGGATGTGAGGAGGGAAGGCAGGGATGTGGAGGAGCGCGGATAAGGAGGAGGGGAGGAGGAGCGCGGATAAGGAGGAGGGGAGGAGGAGCGCGGATAAGGAGGAGGGGAGGAGGAGCGCGGATACTTGCTCTCATTCCCCCCCCCTACATGCCTCCCTCCTCTCATTCCCCCCCCCTACATGCCTCCCTCCTCTCATTCCCCCCCCCTACATGCCTCCCTCCTCTCATTCCCCCCCCCTACATGCCTCCCTCCTCTCATTCCCCCCCCCTACATGCCTCCCTCCTCTCATTCCCCCCCCCTACATGCCTCCCTCCTCTCATTCCCCCCCCCTACATGCCTCCCTCCTCTCATTCCCCCCCCCTACATGCCTCCCTCCTCTCATTCCCCCCCCCTACATGCCTCCCTCCTCTCATTCCCCCCCCCTACATGCCTCCCTCCTCTCATTCCCCCCCCCTACATGCCTCCCTCCTCTCATCCCCCCCCCCTACATGCCTCCCTCCTCTCATTCCCCCCCCCTACATGCCTCCCTCCTCTCATTCCCCCCCCTTGCTCCCTCGATGTTTCCCCCACTGCTCCTCTACACTTCCCCCCACTTCTCCCTCTCATTTCCCCTCTTTATCCATCTCATTCCCCCCCGTCTCCCCCTCATTGGCCCCACTTCTTCCTCTCATCTCCTCCCTTGCTCCATTTCCAACTCTGCTCCCCCTGACTTCTCCATCTTCTCCTCTCGTTTTACCCTTCTCCCCCTCCCCCCCCCACCCCCCTTTCCATCTTCTCCTTTCCCCCAACCCCGTCTGCGGGGTGAGTGAGCTGGCGGGGAAGGGAGAGGAATAAGAGGGGACGGGGGAAGTGCGGATGGCAAGGAGGATTTGAGGGGGAAAAGAGAAGAGAGGGTAGGAGAAGCAGGGGGGAAAACTGAGAGCAGAGGAAGAAAGGAGGAGCAGTGGGTGGAAAGAGGTGCAGTAAGGGAAAGGATGAGCAGAGGGGGGAAAGAGGAGCAGAGAGGGAAAGAGGAGCAGAGGGGGAAAGTAAAGTAGGGGGGAAAAAGAGGAACAGTGGGGGGAAAGAGGAGCAGTGAGGGAAAAGAGGAGAACAGGGGGAAGAAGAGAAGCAGAGGGGGAAAAAGAGCGGAGGTGGGAAAGTTGAGAAGATGGGGAAAGAGGAGCAGAGGGGGAAAATAGGGGAAGCAGGCGGGGAAATGGTGGGAGGGAGGGGGGAGATGAAGGAGGAAGAGCAGGAGTGGCGGGAGGACGAGAGTCGCGGGAGGACGAGAAGGCACGGCGGGAGGGGGAGGAGGCATGGTGGGAGGGGGAGAAGGCATGGTGGGAGAAGTCATGGTGGGAGGAGGAGAGGGGGTGGCGGGAGGAGGAGAAGGCATGGCGGGAGGAGGAGTGGGGGTGGCGGGAAGAGGAGAAGGGGAGAAATGAGGGCAAGCAGGGGAGCATTGAGGGCAAGCAGGGGGAGAAATGCGATCGTGCAAGGGGGAAAACAAGGCGTACAAGGGAGAAAATGAGGGCGTGCAAGGTGGGGAAACGAGGGCAAGCAGGGAGGGAAAACGAGGGCGTACAGGTGGGGAAGTGAGGGCGTTCAAGGAGGGCGTTCAAGGGGGGTGCAGCGGAGATGCGGAAGCACAGCCGTTGCAAGAGAGTGAGAGGGGGCCGAGGGCCTTATCCGAATGCAGCTCGCGAAAGGAGGCCGCCGAGACGCGGAGAGGCAGCGACGGGAGGCAGGGTGAAGCCGACGACGCTGGCTAGGCATTCCATGCGCGGGAAAGCGAGAGGAGGCCGCGCGTGGAGGCGAGAGGAGGCCGCGCGGGGAGGCGAGAGTCGCACGCGCGGGGAGGCGAGAGGAGAGCGCGGGGAGGCGAGAGTCGCACGTGCGGGGAGGCGAGAGGAGAGCGCGGGGAGGAGAGAGGAGAGCGCGGGGAGGCGAGAGGAGAGCGCGGGGAGGCGAGAGTCGCGCGCGTGGGAAGGCGTTAGGAGAGCGCGGGGAGGCAAGAGGAGGAGGCGCGGGGACGTGAGAGGAGGAGGCGCAGGGAGGCGAGAGGAGCAGGCGCGGGGAGGCGAGAGGAGAACGCGCGGCAAGGCGAGAGGAGGCCGCGCGGCAAGGCGAGAGGAGGCCGCGCGGCAAGGCGAGAGGAGGCCGCGCGTGGAGGCAAGAGCAGGCCGCGCGTGGAGGCGAGAGGAGGCAGCGCGGGGAAAGCGAGAGTCGAGTGCGCGGGGAGGCATGAGGAGGCCGCGCGGGGAAAGCGAGAGGAGAGCGCGCGGGGAGGCGAACGCGAGAGGGAGGGCACGCGAGCGGCGAGCGGGAAGCTGCGGCTAACCTCGCGCGGCGAACGGCGGACGGCGAGCTAGGAGTGGAGGACGGGATGGGATGGCAGATGCTAGCGCGTCGAGGCTAAACGGGACTCTGTGGGGAGGGGAGGCGCTGTCGCTAATGGCCTCGCGGTGAGGCAGCGAGAGGAGGTGTGGGGCGGCCTTGTCTAAGTTGGCGTGGCCTCAGCGAGTGCGTACGAATGGGCAATTTGTCCGCGCATGCGCGCAAACAGCGTTACGCGATTCAATAACAGATTCTGTCCCTAAATTTAGCTGTTTGGTTAGAACGTTGCCTAGCCTACGGGGAATAACCTACTGAAGTAGGAGCGCGTGGGCTTTCCTCTCAATACCGCAGTTTCAGTTTCCTTTTGCAAGTCCTAAGGTCTTGAACTGTGAGTGCGGGGAGCCGGACGTGGGGCGTTTGGGGACTCACTTCGCCTGTCAACTGGGGGGTTGGGGGCTGTAATCGCGTAACCAGTTTTTCAAGTTCCTAAGGTTTTTGAAACCCCTGCTTGCAAAAGTATACTGTTGCTTTAAATGTAATTTACCCCTGCTGCTGCAGATGAACCAGCATGCACCTGGTAACGGGTCTAACAAAAATTAACACCATAAAAAGCACTCCAATCCAGTCACCTCTACTAAGGACCAAGCATTCTGCATAATGCGTTTCATCATCACACAAATTACTACCAAACTGCCAGTGGTTTGGGCCGATGATGTGGTATGTGCAAGCAGGGCCATGGCAGGGGCAGAGCAAAGCAGTGTGCCATGGCGTGGCCTTGCTCCCATGGCCCAGCACAGCACATGCTGACATCAGCTATCTCCAGCATTCACTCAGTGCCCAACCCACGTCAGGCTGTGCTGATAGCTGCAGGTCTGGCCGAAGCTGCCGGCGAGGCTCGGATGACAAGCAGGCGGTCGTCAGGCCCCCAGGGGATGGGTCGGTCCTTGTGGGAGGGGTTGAGGTGCCACTCCCCCCGGTGCCGATACGCTATCACCAACTCCTCACTCATGCGCACCCGCGCCTGGAAGAGAGGGAGGAAGAGGGGAGCGGATCGGGGCGGGTACGAGTTGGATTGATAGGGGTGGGGGAGAAACTTCAGCGGGGAGAAAGGGGGGAAGTTTGGTAGGGACGGGGGAGAAATTTAGGAGGAGATGGGGGTGGGGGAGATGGAGGCGTGGAGCATGCAGATGGCAGGTGTCTTCTCCAACTCCCCTCAACCCCCTATACTCACACCTGCTTCTCTCAAAGGCTGAAGATGCCTGGCCCGCTGTCCCGCTCTCAACCTTAACCCCCCCTCTTATAGCCTCACCCGCTTCCCCTCCTTATAGTCACGCCCGCTTCCCCTCCTTATTTCACACCCGCTTCCCCTCCTTATAGTCACACCTGCATCTCCCAGAGGTTGAAGATGCCTGGCTCGCTCTCCCCAATGAACTCATCTGCTCGCCGCACCGCTATGCGGTTCTTTTCCGACCCGATGATCTCGTCCAATACCGTGCCGACATCTGGCGGGGATGGTCAAGGGAAGAGGTCGCGGCGGAGGGGATTGGGGGAGGGTAGAGCGTGAGGGGAATGCGGGGTCTTAGTTATCCAGTGCTGAGCTGCCATGTGGCAGGGCATAGCAGCACGGCGCAATGGGGAATGGTTCATAGAAATTCATTTTATATGGAAAACTCAAGATCTCAGGGAGATTATACTGTGCACTGTGTTGTGGGGGGTAGTAGTGTAATTCGAGCCAAGACTGATGCCCCTCCCATGCACTCAACTCACTCACCACCCCAGCCAGCCTCACCCGGGTCGTGTGTGATCTGCGCCAGCACTTGAGCCTCCAGGTGCTCGGGGCACACAGCACCGTCCAGAGCATGCCTCTCCACCTGCCTCGCCACGTCCCTCTCACTCGCCGGCACCTCTGCCACTATCGCCGCCTCCTGTGCCCTTCCCCTGGATGCCTGAAAGGGAGAGGCAGGGGGATCAGGGGGCGAGGCCAGAGGGGGGGACGAAAGGGAGGGAGAAGATGGGAAAGAAGGGTGTTTGAAGGATCTGGTGTTGACTCATTCGGGTTCCTGCTCCACCTGTCTGGGCCCCAATCAGAGTATGCCTCTCCACCTGCCTCGCCACGTCCCTCTCACTCGCCGGCACCTCCAACACTATTGCCGCCTCCTGTGCCCTTCCCCTGGCCGCCTGCAGGAGTGTGCATGGAGAGAGAGAGCGGCGGGAGATAGTGGGAATAAGGGAACAGGAGGGTGCTGGAAGGGATTTCCCTTATTCCCTTACGAGAGAGGGGTTTCCTCTCCACCTGACTCACTCAGGTCGCTGCTCCACCCGAGGAATCACCATATCCACACACCTGAATACACCTGTGTGCACCTGAAAAAACACCTGATAAGCACCTGAATGCTCCTGATAAGAAGAGCGGTGACGGTGGCCTGTGAGCTATCCAGCGTCCCACCGTCCGCCGCCTCCCCCTCCTCCCCGTCCTCCCCCGCGTTGACTTGCGTTGACTGCAGCAGAATCACCGAGTCAACTGTTTCCAAAGGCAGCGACTCCAGCAGCTCCCGTGATGCTGGGCTGCCACGCTCTATACAGGGGGGAGCGGGGAGGAAGGGAGGAGGGGGGACAGTGGGAGTGAGTCAGGTGTTGGGCCGATGCACTCTGTGTATATGAGTGGTGGAGAGGAAGGGGGAGAGAAAGGGGGAGAGAAAGGGGGAGAGAGGGAGTGGGATGGGG